ATAAATTTCTTGTGCTTAATAGTTAAGAAACTCTATACATCCTAAAGTTAACGAACTTGCTTTAATTTGACATATGATGCGTACATTGAAGAACTTCAAAGCCATGGATAGAGCTTGAAACCGGCAATATCTATTGCATATTCTTCTCAAACTCAAACAACATGAAACCCCTCAAAGGAGCTTCATCCGCGCTTCTTCTAGGACGCCTTTCTGTGTCAGGAACTAGAAAGGTAACAGAGAGGTTTTCTTTTTATCTTATTATATTTAATAGAACAGATATATAAGTTTGACTCACTCAAAATTATAATTTATGATTGATGCAGACGATGAACATAACTTCAGAGATCAACCATGTCATCATTACTATACTCGAGAACTCTGGTAATCTATTAACTATTGTCTATTCAAATTTGTAAATTAATAAAGTGATTGGAGCCAAAGATTTTTTCTTTCCATTCTCTGAGGCTTCATATATAAATAGAGACTCATGAGCAAAACCTACTAGACAATACCACCCCAAAACCATATAATAAACCCTTGGAGCCTTGAAAGCCCAGTGATTGTATCAAGTTTAAAAAGTTATGCACATGTATTTAAACTATCTATACTATTATTTGAGAAGTAATTTTGCTTAGTTGTCATGTTCTCCATAAATTTAGGTAATTTTACTCATTTATCTTATTTTTAATAATTATATATAATTATCTATAACATTATTTGAGAAGTAAATTTGCTTAGTTGTCAACTTCTCCATGATTTTAGGTTATTTTACTTATTTTCATGTTTTAAGAAGTTATTATATAATAAAAATGAATTTATGTTAATAATATTATATTTTTAGAAAATATCTTAATTTTTTTGTATTAGATTGTTATCTTAAAATATATTTTTCAATTAGTATTTTAGAAGTAAAAATTTGCTTAATTGTCAACTTCTCCATGATTTTAGGTTATTTTGCTTATTTTCATGTTTTAATAATTTATTATAAAATAAAATAAAAATAATTTATGTTAATAATATTATATTTTTAGAAAATATGTTAATTCTTTTGTATTAGATTGTTATCTTAAAAAATATATTTTTCAATTATAAAATTTAAGTGAATTTGCTGATTAATTTGTAACTTTATGTGATTTAGGTAATCTATACTATTATTTGTGAATAATTTTTTGCAATAAAGTTCTCATGTTGAAAGTTAGAACGGTTAATATCGGTTATACCCTTAATGAATAATTAAAATTTTTAATATAATTAAACATAAATAAAAAACGAATTTCAATGATATTAGATTTATCTTTATCTAAAACTATTTTATATTGGGTTATAAAGTTTTTATTAACCTTGAAAAATAATTATATTATTTAATATACTTGAAAAATAATTATATTATTTAATATATAATTAATTATAAATTAAAATCGAATTTCATTTATTTGATAATTATCCTTATTTTAATTTTTTATATTATGTGATAAAGTCTTTATCAACCTTGAAAAATAATTATATTTGTTAACATATAATTAATTCTAAATTAAAAAATGAATCTCATGAATTTGATAATTATCTTTATCTAACTTTTTTATATTGTGTTGAAAAGTCTTTATTAACGTTGAAAAAATAATTCTATTTGTTAATATATAGTTAATTATGAAAAATCAATTTGCAAAGAATTTATCTATAGATAATTTATATTTTGTTATCAAAAACATTATTAAAGATATTTTTTTATACTTTTTTGTTATGTCTAAAAATGACATTAATTTATTACTAAATGTTTTAAGTTTATGAGTATTTTTGAATATAATTTGTGTAATGAAAATTATTTATATGATGATGAAAAAATTATAAATAAAAAATATTTGTTTAGTTTATTATTAAATATTTTGAGTCTATGAACAGTAATTTATTATAATTTACATAACTTGATTATATATTTATTTATAGATATTAGTAAAATTATTAAGCCCGCAAGTGCGGGCAAAACACCTAGTGACCTTACTATTTTAGATGTTCAAATTCATCGGCGGAAAGAAGAGTCCTTATCAATGAGCTCGCGGGTAGATGTTAGTGTCCCAAAAATTGACGTTAATTCTTTTTATTAATTTTTTTTCTCTTCTAATTATAGTTTTGACTGACTAATAAGATAAAAAAAACATACGTATTTGTTTTCTTTCAGGTTGAAATGACTGTCACGCTCTCAGCCGCTGGTCAGAAGATGATTATCCGCTACGAGGTTGACGAATCCCAAAAAACGGTGAACCCATACCATAACTTTTTACTCATGGCGCCTTTCCTCAACGTCATCGTGACAATATTTATAGTCACAAGGTGTTTCCGCCGCAGCATATTTGACAACACAAGTGTTAGAAAATCAGTTTCTCTAAAATAAGTTATTGGAACTTACCAGAGCGTTACTGTGGTGTTTTATTATTCGAAATTGTCAAATTTATCAAATACTGAGAACAAAGCGTTTCGTATTATTTGATATGTTACAAAATTAAAAATTCTGCGAAATTTTATCGTTCTTTATCTAAAAATATTAACTTTGTTTTCTCAAGATGTTTTACAAATTTTATAGGGAAGTTATTGACAATGTCGACGTCAAACAGGGCGCCAGATGTTGCATGTTACTTGACTGCTACAAAACATCCATTTTAATAATTTTCCGTTATTCTCAGGAATCAGACCTAGTCAACGATAAACGTGTGCATACAAGAATGCATCGAATATTTTACCAACTAAAGAGGACTAAATTTTCAGTTTTTGGTCTCTTTGAATATAATATTCAATCAAAAGGACTTTGTGTGTACCTATTTTCACGAAAGACTAGTGTCTGTTTGGTAAGTTCTAGTTAATCAAGTTGTCCGGTAACAGCACTAAAAAGAAAGCAGAATACAACAAAGATAAAACAGCACTTTTAGGCGTCTGCTAAAACAGAGAATAAACTTTCGAAATAATAAACAGCACCAATGAGTCTGGTAGGTTGGAAGAGTAAATCATAAGATTTGGCATGAAGATCATATATCACCAATGGTTGCATGTGTGCATGAATATGAAGTAATAACTTATTTATGTCCAGAATGGCGATCGGTAAGAGGTGACATTCCCCGAACCAAGACACAGTATTTGTGAGATCTAGCGAACACATTTTCTTCCATGTCTTGCTGCCGCCTGAAGAATCTAATGACCATATCACTTGAGTGGACCGTTTTCTCCGTGATACGCAGAGCCGGTTATCGAGGATGGACATGAACACGTCGAAACCGTTAC